GTGTATCAATGGTACGGTTTGGGTGCGTTGCCCCAAGCATAAGCATCATGGTGCTAAAGTCGTCCGTTATGCTGCTGCTTCAGCCATCTGCCACTTCCACAAAGGAGCAGAATGTAGGAATGAAATAATGGATAAACTTTCTATTCCTGGTGGGAGTCACACAACTCATTCATTTAGACTAAAGAACAACAAGCGGTTGAGGAAAGCAAATGCTCAAGCTACAGCCATGGAGAAAAAGCGCCGCCAGGGACTCCAACTTGTGCGGACCAGAAGAGAAGAAGCCCTTCTTGAAATTGATGGACCAAGCTATGACCCTGGAGGATTCTAAGGGCTCCCTTAAGCCTCTGAGAACTAAATCTGGATAGTTTTCCACCCACTGATATTCTTTTCCCCGAACAATCATAATATATAATTTGTTGTAAACTTTAAGTCTGTTTTCTCAAAACGAGCGATTTTTGCCTTTGAGAAAAGATATTTCAAGAAAGATTTAAGCTATTGACCTGAAATTTTCAGGAGAGTTAGTGCTCATTAAATGAATTGATATGAATGAGGGAATTTGTCAAGGGCTTGCTGGGGAAAAAATGATCAATGAAAAATCCCCCACATTTTGATGGTTTAACTTGAGATGGCTCTTTTGGCATGTGATTTTACAATTTTGCAAAATCCTCCATTCATATCAACAATTAGGTACTATTCTTTGAAATAACATAAGAAGTTTATTTGTCTGTGAAGTCTGCAAAGAGAAATCTTTTCTCAGGTACCCGAGGCTTTTGCACTGCGGGTAGTGCCTTTGACAGCCTGGTACCAGGTTACTTTTGCTGGCAGTGCATAAAAACATTCGTTTTCAGAACCTTTGGAGTATAAGCTTTCCAGTTATATAAAGTTTGTTATGGTTTGGATTAAAACTGTGATTGCTACATGCTATACAAAAAGTGCGCTTTTTTCAGGTAAAGCCCCACCTTAATGGTTGTTCATCCCATCACCTGCACATTTACTTATTTTTAATAAATGTATTCTGATATTAAAATTTTTCTGATTAAACATAATTTTTTTCGATTTCAGTCATAGTTATCCTTATAAAATACTGACTCAGCACTTGCATTTCTTCACCAAACAAATGTTTTCGTTTTAATAGTAACTGTTTACAAATACGGAGAATAATCTTTCATTTGTGAGAGGAGTCAAAATACCACTTTAGTCGATTATTTCCCTTTTTTTATATAGGTCATTTAACCTTTCACCATACATGACAATAAGGGAATATATCCTTTTATAAAAGGCAACAATGGACAAAATTTTTTGTATCTCTATCATATCTCATTGTTACTATTTCAACTATATCAACTAAATCTTCCCTTCAATATCTCTTGTCTACCAAGAATACCAGGCTGCAGTGTTCACACAGGAGTACTTCTGAAAGAAACTTCCCAAATGTGATTGCTTGAATGTCACAAGAGGAGATCACTACACGAATGTGATTTAAAATTATTTCTGAACATCATGGACCATGAAGTTGAGCTGTTCAAAGAGTACAGCATACCAGGAATCCTCTGGACAAGCTCAAGAAAACAACAGCCATGCATACATGCAAGCAAACAAAGGGTGCCTTTTATTCCGAAGGACCCAAACACAAAGAATGCCAGAAAGTCAGGAATGTCACCAAATGTAAGCGGTTAAAATTGACTTTCCTATCCAAGAAAAAATACCACACGTCAAGTTTACCTATTGGTCAATTCATTTCACAAGTATCATTACATCCTATACTCCATGGAATGAAAATGGGGACAACTGCAACCTGCGAAGACAACAATGGATGGAGTTCGTTACACTTAAATGATACCTTTTTCACCATAGTAGTGGGTGTAGCGTTCTACATGTACCTTAAAATGTTTTTTTCTATTGAATATGAGTTTTCAAACTATCACTATAGAACTCCCACACATGTACTCATTCTTAGTAGTGCACATGTCCTGCTATTTAAAATAGTACTTGTATTTTATCAGATTAAACACATGCATTTTTGTTATTGTTATCCTTAATTATACTGACTCAGCACTTAAATTTATTAATTGATCACATCTTTTTTAGAATAAATTGTTTACAAATACAGAGAATAATCTCTCCTCTGTGATAGGAGTCAAAACACCCATTTTGTCTATTTGTTGACCCTTGTCATATGTGTCTTAAATTGTTGATGAGGGAGCTGATCCATCTTTTAAAAGACAAAAATGGACGGAATTCTTTTTATCCCTGTGATGCCCCATCACAATGCCCTCTTCCAAGGGAAGAGCTACCAAGCAGCTTGCAAGAATACATGCACTGACCACCAGTAAGAATGCAACCACTTGCATCACTCAGAATTCTTGTTAAGCGCCAAAACCACTTTACCAGTACCAAAGAGGCCATCTTCAGTTCATTTCAGTCATTTGACAAGCCAGCCTGACCTAAGACTAACAAATACTGTACCACACAGAAAATTACAGAGGTAGTCTCCTCAGCAATGATCAGGAAAACCATTACATTTACTTAATCTTTGACAAATTCTCTGTTCTATTTCTAAGGACTCTGTATTCAAGGCAGTACTCAAGATTATCTGAAGACAATCCATTAGAGTGCCTTGGAGAGAAAGAGCTAAGTTTTGCCTTGCTACAGATCTTTAAAATGTGACCGGAAAAGCTTACATTGTTGCCACACAGGACTAACTTCTGCCTCAACAACAAAGCTTTTGTGAAGCATTTCTATGCTTAAAATTGATTTCCTTGATTTATTATAATTTAAATCGTGCGTCAAGTAAGTTGTAATTTTTCTACTGTTAAGGTAAAGTGTAAGGTCATTGTTAAAGACCATGTAATAGGAAGTGGCATAGGATAATCAAATTTGTTCTGTATTTATTCCTGGTGTATTTAAACAAAGGGTAAAATTAATCAATGTCATGTATTATAAAATTTTATTACACACTTTTCATTTGAAGATGTGTTCTTTCCGTATGCCAGAAGGGAAGAGCTATGGTTGTGATTTTGTTTTATGTATTCTCAATATCTACCTGAAATAATGCAGTTGCATGTATGAGTTACCTCATCAAGGTAAATGGATGTACAGGATGTACATGACATGTAAATGTATGAAAAAATGCATCGAGTTCCAATTTGTGTTCATTGTTTCAGGAGGCCTTACTCAGGGGGGAGGATGCCTCTGGTACCAAATATGCAGTGGAGGCTCTGGGGAACTCATCACCAGGCCTGAGTCCCTCAAGGAGGAGCCTTTTGGAAAGAGAGATAAGAGTTTTCCTTCTCTGCAAAATAATGTTTAATTGTTAAGAGCCTACATGTAGTTTAAAATATATTTGTTAAAGGACGATAAAAATGCTTTTGTCAAAGAATAATCCAAAATAAGATCTTGCTACAGATCTTTAAGATGTGACCAGAAAAGCTTACAATGTCACCACACAGGAATTAACTTCTGCCTTAACAGAGAAGCTTTTGTGAAGCGTTTCTATGCTCAAAAGTGATTTCAATGATTTATTATATTTTTGTGTGTCAAGTAAGTTGAAAATTTTTGACCATTGAGGTAAAGTGTTAGGTCACATGTAATAGGAGGTGGCATAGAATAATTAAATCAGTTCTGTGAACAGGATGTATCTAATTAGGTATTTCCAGGGCATTAGGTATGTAGTACCCATGAATCTTTATGGAACAAGCCTTGAATCCCACACGGAATTACATATCTGGGTGTGGATTTCCTTTGCTAATAAATGTAGTTTTTTTATGGAATAGAAGAGATGGATCATAAAATGGAACGTGTAATGCTGAATTGACAACAATAACACCCAAATCAAGTGAAAGCATACAGTCCAAGAACACTGAACCAGCATGTGTGGATTTTCAGTAATGTATGCAGGAAATTCTGGGCAGAAAGCCTCCAAGAACAATCCTCCTTTGCAATCTTAAAACACCATGTGGTAAATATTCACAAAATCTGATGGCTTAATCATTTTCTGGCCAGCTCCCATAGAGAACATTAGCCACATGCGAACTTTCTGATTGTACATGCAGAGGCAGGACAAAATGGCTGACGATGTTGCACCTTCTGTCAAGCAATATAAGTTTAGTTACAGATTAAGTATTGATAACATCCTAGTAAACATTAATTGTCGTGAAATTGTAAATGATTGTCATAGAGCATGTGTTAGATTTCACAACTTGTCAACAAAGTCCGCAATTGATTTGCTTTGCGAGAGATGTTGCAATTGCATGTGTTTAGTCTGCTAAATAAGGAAGGAAAACCTGTTGTTGGGAAATAATAATTTAATATAGGATTATTACAATAGGTTTGCTTAGGGTTTTATTGTACTTGTGATTGTAGGAAAAATACTAGCTTAGATACACAAGGCAAACTATAAATAGTATTGTAGACTGTAGTTTAAGTCAGAATTGTGAAAACCATCAGAATTGTCAAGATCATCAGATTGTGAAGCTTAAATTGTGGTGATCATCGCAAATATACCTAGAAAAACAAGATTGCTTACAGTCCTCTTTGATGGAGTTCATCAGCGACTGCAGAGATTCCATGACACCTTCTGAAGCCAACCATGTGAGAAAGCCGCATGCTTATTAGAAAGTATCTGCACAGTAATTTTTCCAAAGGTTGAGGAAGATATAAAAATTGAAAGCAAATTTTTGTCAAACCTGACAAACAAAAACAATACAAGAGTACGAGATGGAATAAAAAACAATGTAAATGACCTTGATATTTGCCACTTCAGGAGAGAGGACAGGAGGATGAAGAAAACCAGAGTGTCGTCAACATACTACAAAAAATATCATACAGTTCATTCAGCTATTTCTAATAGTATCCATACAGGTTTGCTGTTTGAACACCCTCCACAGATACCGAAAAAATTCTGACAATAGAATTTTAAATTTGATAACCAAGAAGCATCATGTAACTGTTTCCAATAAATTTAACTTGTATTTAACTAAAGATCACCTGCTTCATCCTACTACATTTGAGAGGTGAAAACCAGCAGCTAAAGGTAATTAACTCATCACCCTTAGAGTGTGAAGCAGGACAATGGTGTGACTAGTGTTGCAATACTGGGATTTCCAACATTGGATCCCTCAATTTTTACAAAGGTACAGCTTATTTAATGTCAATTATGCTTTATGTTAATATAATGCTTTCAGAACTTTATATTTATACAGTTATACAAAGGTTTTTTATTTTATCTTACGAGCCTTGAGAGCTTTCTTCTGTTACCTGTCCACAGACAGATAATTATTGTTGTATTACATAACCTCAATCTTAAAATTTCTGTTTTGTATATAAGTCGCAATCATTGTAAATGGCTTAATTTAATTCTTAACCTGAATGAGGCCGAATGGCTGAAACGTCATGCATTAAACTCATCCAGAACAGTCAAGAGTTGGCCTCTTTGTTACATCCTTACAGTACACTTAACTACAAATTCATCAACCAAAAATAGAGAGAGAGAGAAAAAGAAAGACATACCCACATCATTTACAGCACTTGAGAACGACAAACAAACTCATAGAAAGGAACAAATTGAAATGACATGAAGAAATTCACTGCAGTAATTTCCATCTTCCGGGGACTGAAAAGAAATCAGGAATTCTGGACTATTGAAAACACTTACTTACACTCAACTGAGTTGGTAAGTATAATGACAATCACTCTCCTGCTCCCACCCAGTCAGTTAAACATAGTTTTTATATATTTTATAATTACCATGTTCATGTTCCGATGATACATGAAAATAGGTATTTTCATGTTCTCGATTAAGGCCATGCTTTTACAAATACAAGTACAAGTGCAACTGAACAGATCACACAATATTATTATTGATGCTACAAGTTAACCAGTCCATCTATTCGACACTGAAAAGAAAAATATTAATGTGGATAGACTGTTAAGAATCGAAAAATTGTAATTATTT